AGAGAGAGAGAGAGAAAGAAAGAAAGAAAGAAAGAAAGAAAGAAAGAAAGAAAGAAAGAAAGAAAGAAAGAAAGAAAGAAAGAAAGAAAGAAGAAAAAATGAAAAAAAAAGAAAATCTAAAAAAAAAAATCGACACCAAAATACTGCATCATGTTTCTGGTTTTCAAAAACACAGTCAGGCTCTCTGTTTAAAAAACAAATCTTCCATAATTGGAAAACAATGTCAGTTATCTGAATTAGTTATTTATTACCTGATACATCTTTGAGAAAAGCTTAATGAACTTATTTCTAAAATAGCTTGTACAATCAGTTCCATACAAAAGTTATTTTTAATGTTCAGAGTCACCACCATGCTGAGGCTTTAGCACTTGTATAAACAATGTTTCCCAAAATTCTTACCACGCCAAGACAAAACATGCATTATAGGAAAACAAATTACGTTGTCTTAAACTTCCTAGTCCTCCTCCAGTGTCAGGAACTTCAAAACAGGAGGTTCAATAAAAGTCAAAGGATACAGTGATCTTAAAAAGACTTTCTTTGGTTTCAGAATGTAACTGGTAAAAACACTTTGTTCATTTGTGGCTGATTTTTGTTCTAACAGTAAAATCTATTTCTGATTTTACCACCACCCCCTTCCCCAGAATTAGGAAAAACTCATAAATTTTGTCCCCAAACCACCCATTTCAAATTCTTTTTTATCTGGTGTCAGTGTAACTTAAATTCAGTTTTCTGATTTTGTTTATTTTTCTTCCTGACAGTCAATATACTATAGGAGTACAACTGCAGACTATTTTCAGACAGACCTGAGTTTGAAAGCAAGTATCTGTGCTTATAAGTTGTTTTTCTTGATTTATCTTATCTACAGTCTCGTAGATTATACAATGTGCACCATTGTTTATATGTTCAAAGAAGGAAGCTAATTTTCACAATGTTTGCATCTGGTATATAATAATGTCATGATGCATTTATTCCCATTTGTTTTGTGAAATTCTTCTGAGTCATGAAAGAAGACAAAACATAAATACATTTCAAAGCCCAGCTTAAGTTTCTTGTAGCTCAGGAAACTACTCCTGACTTCTTAAGCCCTTGTTGACCTCAATTTTATTTGGATTTTTGATGTATCTGCCAACTTACAACTTCATGGATACCATATTCCACAACAAATTTACTAAGAGTTTCTAATGTACCTTATGCACCTGATACCCTTTTGTTCTCATGACAACTCAATATTTGATCACTGGAAGAAGGTACGTAATTTTATATTGTTTGGGTAATTGATTTTGAATTCTAACCTCCTTACCAAGCATATAATCTTACAATTTTTGAAACATAGTTCCTAGTCCCTTAAAAGTGTTCATTTACATGTTATATGATCGTTCTGACATATACTCAATCAACACAACACATGATATCTTGAACATGTTTACGAACTTGCCTCATGCATAACCACCAAATTACAATATTTCTGTTTTTCTTGACTTTAAAATATATAGGTGGCCATAATCTGCATCTCTCACTTAACTTCTAAGTAGTCTCTTTACTTTCAATGAAACTCTTGGAAAATAAGCTGACATTGATCTGCAGTGGAGTTGTTAAAGGTAAAACAAAACTTGCAATCCAAGTGTAAACAACTAAGCAACCCACTCAAAGGTGAAAGCAAAAGAAAAAATAAATGAATTCAAATGTTCATAAAGAAATGTTTATTAACACAAGTGAAAAGAAAATGGATATTAAATTAAAATTTCACACCATAAAACATTGAGAAAATGAATATTCAAAAAGCCTCTTAACACCTAACCTTATTTTAAATTAAATATAGGCAAATCAGACATATAGGTGGATAGGTATCCATTGCTAAAATGGAATAAAATAAATAACCATATTCATCTCTATGTTACCTACCAAGAACAACTAAAAAGTATCTTCAGTATGTTGATACAATCTCAGGACCAAAATGTCGAAAAAAATTCACTAATTTGGTGGGTGTGACATATGCCTTAATCGATGGGTAAACTAAGACAAAATGGTTTCTTGAGCTCAATAATTCAAGGACAGGCTGGGAAAAAATAGTAAGAGGAGAGATGAAATAATAGAAGGAAATTTTGGAATTTAACAAATAGAAACAAATTTACAAATTCTAAAGTAACAGAAGCATCAAAATATCATAAGAAAAAAAAACCAAAAATGTTTTAATTTGCCCTTAGAGAGAAAGTTCTATATTAAAGGATATATTAAAATTGATATTATTTTGAATTCTCTGACCTAAGCTTCTACATTATGGAAGCATCAATGGAAAAAAATCACTTAAGCAAAATCGAGCAATATAAAGTGAATAAAACAAAGCATGAAAAAGCAAAAAGGATTAAAAATAATAGAAAAAAACAGAACCAAAATTGAGCCTTTGAAGACATAAACAAAATTTGCAAGCCTTTAGCTTGTCCAGAAAAAATTTATAAAAAAAACACAACTTAATAATAACAAGTTGAAAGAGAATACATTATTACTGACAAATAGAATTAAGGTATATAAATAAAACAATATTTACAACAGTATGCCAAAGTTTATATGGTTTACATATTTACATAAACCAATCAAAATATATATTTATTATTACATTTTAAGAAATAAATGGACTTAGGAAGAAAGTAAACAAAATTAACATTCAATAACCATATCACAATGAAACGTGTAAGTGCCAATGGCTTCTATATGACTTTTAAAGCTTTTTAGAAGAAATAACACTGAAGATTTAGCATTACTTAAACAACAATGGGGCCAAACTGTTGTATACATTAATTGCAATACTTATCAAAATCATAGCTGCCTTAATTACAGATATTGGCAAAGTTATTTTAAAAAATCCAAAAATGCAAAGAGTTTTTGCCTGACAAGAGGAAAAAACTAGAATATGCATACTTCCATATTTCAAAACTCATTTTAAAATGACAAAAATCAAAACAAAGTGCCTGTAGTATGAAGATATACATATGGATTAATAGAATATATTTTAAAGTTTAGAAATAGAGCTTATAAGTATGTGGTCAAGAGATTTTCTAGAAGCGTGCCAACAAAATGTTAGGAAGAAGGAAAAGTATTGTCAGCAATCTTGGAGCAACTGGATGGCTGGACAGAAAAACATGAACTTGATAGCCATGATTATTTTGATCTATTTGTATATCAACTCAGTGAAGCTATGATCTGTTAGATGAGGCCACTTGTTATTCCTGGCAACAGCTAGCATACACTCGAAATAATCACACAGAAATTGTTTTATTTAAATCACTCTTTGGCACATTAGATCTAGCTTCTTATTGGCTAACTTACATATTAATTTAACCCATTTCTAGTAATCTGTGTATAGCCAAGTGGCATTGGCTTCCCGGCAAAGTTTTGGCATATCTGACTCTGGCAGCGGCTCCATGGCATCCCCTGATTCCTCCCTTCTTTCTCCCAGCATTCAGTCTAGTCCTCTCCACCTACCTAAGTTTTGCCCTATTAACAAGCCAAGGCAGTTTCTTTATTCATTATTGAAATTCACAGCACACAGAGGGGACTCCTACATCACCCCCATTTTCTGTTTAAATAAAAAGAAAGGCTTTAACTTCAATATAGTAAAATTACATATAACAAAACAGGTATCAAACAAGAATTACAGTTACAATATTTATATCTATTTTATATTTTATCATAACCAAGGAAAACTATAACTATAAATACTTCAACTTCATCAAAGAGTCCAGAAGGATGTAATATTACTTAAGAAAACAGTAAGTGAATTATAAGCAACTTCCAAAACTCTAGAATTGACAGAGACATCTCACTGCCTGGAAAGTTACCCAATGTTCGTTTGTACTATTGGGGCATCCATCTTCAGCCTATAGGCCCATAATATCCAGCAGACTTTTCCATGAAGCAAGAAATTTCAATGACAGTTATGTCCATATTGGCAGTTTACCAGTCACATTCTTCTGTATCCTGTCTCACAGACTCTTTCATGAAGCAGGAACCCCGAAGGATCGTCTCACCTTTAAGCAAGTTCAGAAGTCATTTCTCTGCAGGTCCTGCAAGTCCAGTTAAGCAATCCAGGAAATAGCAGTTTCTTGCCCAAATGGCTAACAAACTCCATTAGGAGCTTCTTTGGTGTCCATCTTCCTCTTGAAGTAATTGGTGCTGCCAGGAGCAGAAGTGTCTTATTGCCATGAAAAGACCAAAATTTTTTAAAACATTTAAATGCCATATTTGGAAGGTCTCTGAAAGATTTGAAGAATACCTATCAAACTGTAATATATCTCTATACATCTAGAAAATATAACTAACATGACTACAAGCTCGACTATTATAGATGAATATTTATTAACTTATATTTCTTAATTATACACTAAATTTTTAAATGAGCTACACAGACACAATACCTTAATCAAGATCAGAAATACATATATGTATAACAAAATTGACCTTAAATTTGTATCAATAAACCAAGATCCATATCAGTGCAAATTATTCATTTCTATATCTTATCTCCCTTTAAATGTAAACAAACAATATTTGGGAATAGGGTCCAGGGTTCAAGTCCCTGTTTGGGTTCAAGATGATGAATGGAAGTTACAAAAAAATCCCACACCAGTTCAAAATTATGAATAATAAAAGGGTTATTTATTTAAGGGGAAAACTTACAGATCACTTTCCTAGATAATAGTCCTCTATATGAACAAGAACAAAGTCTAGCAGCTGGAACTTGGAGGCAGAAGCAAGAGAGAATGGCTGCACATTTACAGCTGCTTTTACAGTATATAAGACCTCACCCAAGTGGGCTGCTGTCTTAAAGGCTATTGGTTGAAGGAGCATAATGTGCTCCTACAGCAATGGTCCTAGTTATTAAATCTATCTCTGTCTCTGTCTCTCTCTCACACACACACTCCTACTATATAAGCTTTTAAGATGATCCTATATCTTTTCAATTGTACATAGTACTATAAAATAAGAAACTGCAATCATTCCTCTTTACCACTGGTCAGCACAACCCCCAAATAATCTGCTTTTTTCCTTCATATATATATATATATGATATATATCTTCAGATTATATCTATATATATGATATATATCTTCAGATTATATATATATAAAATGCTAAATATTTTATTCATCAGAAGAAATGTGATAGTCTTGTTTCTTAGTCTGGCTTATTTTGTCTAAAAGAATATCCTCCTTTTTTCACTTTCCTTCAAAGGAAATAATTTTCTTCCTCATGAATGACAAATATCCCTATGATATATACATATCACACTCTGCTTACCTAATCAGCTGTTGATGGATACCTTGCTGATTCCTTGTATAGCTTACTGTGAATAGTGACTAAATAAATATTGGATATTTTGGTATCTTTAAATTCCTTGGAAACATACTGATGTGGGATTCCCCTCTTTATACTATGATTAATTAAAAAACTGTCTTGGGCCTATGGCAGAGAAGAACAGAGGTAGGTGGGGAAAACTAAACTGAATCCCAGGAGAAAGAAGGCAAAGTCAGTAGCCCTGCCAAAGATAGATGCAAGGAGTGGAACTTTATCCAGTAAGCCACAGCCATGTGGCGATACACAGATTAATAGAGATCGGTTAGTTTAGGATATAAAAGTTAGCCAACTCCACCCGTTTGCCTGCAAATCATAATATTGAGTGAGGTAACACAGACCCAGAAAGACAATTATCATATGTACTCACTCATGAGTGGATTTTAAATATAAAGAAAAGAAAAACAACCTACAAATCACAATCCCAGAGATCCTAGACAACATTGAGGACCCTAAGAGAAACTTACATGGGAATTTACATGGGAAGTAGAAAAAGACAAGATCTCCTGAGTAAACTGAGACATGGGGACCATGATAGAGAGGTAAACAGGAGAGGAAAGGAAGGGAAGAGAGCAGAGAAAAATGTATAGCTCAATACAATCAATTAAAAAAAAAAGAATTATCCAGAAATACGCTTAAGCTACTGACCAAATAGCATGGCAAATAATATAGTTCCTGTTGATTATTTCAGGGCTGAGCAGCCTGGAACAAACAAGCAGCCTCCTACTACAACATACCTAAGTGGTATTTCAATATCACATAGAAGTTTCATTTTTAGGTTTTTGAAGACCCTTTATACTGATTTTCATAACAGCTAGACTAATTTACTAATTGACATTGTAATCACCAGTACATAAGTGTTCCTTTCTCTCATGCTGTATTTGATACTTTCCTGTTTCTGAAATAAAGTGTCATGATCAAGAACAACTCATGGAAGAAAAAAAAATTGCTTTAGCTTACAGTTCTGGAGTGAGAGTAAGGATAGCAAGGAGAGGCATGACAGTAGGCAGTTGGAACAGGAAGCTGAAAGATCGTATCTTAAACCTCCAAAATGAACTCTGAACCAGAGAGTTCACAGGAAGTTCAGTAAGGCTATAAACATCAAATCTCATCTTCAATGACATATTTCCTCCAGCAAGATCATACATCCTAAAGATTTCCATAACTTCCACAAACAGTGTCACCAACTGGTGACCAACTCTACAAATATCTGAGCCTACAGGGGCAAAAATCTCCTTCAAACCACTATATTCATAATAACAGTATTTTTACTTGCTGCTAGTTATTCTAAGTGTTTTAAAAACAGAATGTCAATGTAGTTTTTATTTATGTTTCTTTGCTGGCTAAAAAAGTCTTGAACATTTTTCATGTATTTATTGCTTCCACCACTAGGTGGTGAGTAGATGGTATTGTTTGGGGGAAGTAGGCAGAAGGGAAGTGGGCAGTGGCTCTACCTTCATGGGGGCCATTAACACCAATACTCTTCTTGTCCTCATGATTTCTCCTCATCTTTGCTCCTCACAAGAATGGAGCCCTACCTTAGACAAAACTATGTGTATAACAACTACTTGAAAAATGCTTATTCTAAAAAATCAATGACTTTCCTTGTACCCATGGGTTACTAAAAACAAGATGAACCTCAAACCTGTGTCATAATTTATATCTGTCTTTCTGCTTTGCATTAGATGATGGCAAGGGACTAGGTCCTTGGTTTTATATCTATAAGGGCTGTGTAATTATACTTCATGCCCCTGATTATTGTTCTGTTTAAGCCTAAAGCTCACAACAGTTCTGCAAACCTGGACTTGGAGCCCTTGGCCTTCTTTACTTATTACTCTTCAGACTGTGTCCATGTTGGATAATAACTTCTCTTTTTCGCTTTTTGCCATCACTTATCTTTTTAATCGAACTGTGTAACCAACCAAGCAAGCTTATTGGGGCTGCCGGAGCTCTGGTTTTTATCCTAAAATCTCAGTACACGAGAGTGATTCTAGATATTAGGCACGTCACGGGGCTTTAATATTTGAAGAAATTTCCATGATCTGACTAAATTTCATACTCACTTAACTCTAAGGGTAAACATTTAGATAATCTGAGTAGATACAGCTCGACTAGTTAGAAACTGTAGGAGTAGAGACTTCCACAAAGAAACCTGCAGATAGCAGCTTGAGCCTATGCATTTAATCCTTCTTCTTCTCAGAGAACAATCTGACTTAAGAATTTCTGCCTTGTCTAGTCAGCACCTATGATTGTATAAGCAATTCCTTGCAATCTATCCCTTAATTTATACCCACTACTAATACTGTTCCACAAATCGGATGTTGACTGATTCTAATATGAATCATGTGAGTACTTTTTAAAAAGTACCATCTTAAGGATCAATTTTGAAAACTATCCTGGACTTTTATGAATTTGATGTACACTAATCTGTTTAGAACTAAATGCATCAATGACTATTGTGTATGGTGAAGAGGCCATGATAGCTGAAGACATGATTTGGCAATAGAGGTACTCAAAATATTGCCATTGAAATTTTCTAACCAATCGAAAAGAAGATCAAGTTGTAGAATGCCATCTATTTTATCATTTTAGAATTAAGATATTCAAATATATAAAACTGTAGAATAGAGTGAGATTGACTGCTTACTCCTCAATATGCAAGAGGAAGTGACAAAAGAAAATAACAAGCCCAAGATTTCAAATTTAAATCTGAAGCTTCATGTTGATAACCTACAAGCATTTTTATTTTCTATTTAAAAAAACACTTATCTATAGCCATAGAGTCAATTTAGTTCAACCAAAATAAATGTCATCTTTTAACTGACTGAATTATAACACATATTAAGTTTCCAATTGCATAAATACTTTTCTTAAAGAAGAGCATTGACTAGAGACACATAGATAATAAAATCTGGAATGGAAACATATCAGCAAAACCAAGTGAATCTGGCAATACTAAACATCTCAGTTGCTCTGTGTTCTCTCTAGTCAAAACAGGCCTCTGAACTCTGCCTAGAGATTTTACTGTCCCTTTGTCTATTAATTTGTAACAGCATCCTTTATGATAGTTGCCTCTGATTCTCTACAAGACTTGCTGCCATAAGTCCTCCTGCTTCTAAACCAAGAACACCATTACAGCCTTAGTATGTGTCAACAAATAAGACACAATGTATAAATCACAAATCTTCTAGATCTGTCAGATAGAACAGAATAGGCTGAAATAACCCTATAAAGATGGTAGATAGGGTCCTCTTTAGAAGGCAGTATATACACATCTGGGTAAATTACTCTGGCTTTGCTATTTTTTAAATGTTGATGGTCCCCTAACATCTACATGTTAGAACCTCCTCACCAATATGAGGGATTTGGTGGGGGGAAGTGGCTAAGAGAAATTTTTATAAATGGAACTAGTGACTTTGTAAAATGGTTCTCAGAGACATGCCATGCTCCCTCCCCCAAGTAAAGATGTATGAAAACTCTACCAAGTATGTGCTAGAATAACAGGCAGTGAGCACTATATGCCAAAGTACCTTGATATTTTACTTCTTAATTTATAACTACAAGCTGTTCAGATTATAGTGTTTTTGTTTTATAGAACCTCAAACTAAGAAAATATATGTATTAAATGATCCACAAACTACTAATTTTCTTTTGACATTCATGTCACAGCCCTGCAGCAAGTCAAGGTTGCAATGCAGCAGAAATATTTGTGGTATTGACAGGTGACAATACTATATATGAGGAGATTTTTTTAAGTCCCTTTGCAGGCAAATCACAGTGCAAATTATAATTTTGGGGGAGAAACTGTCAATATCTTCAGG